GTACTCGCTGCTCAATGGTGGCTCGAGAGAGAAAGAGAGGGAGAGAGAGCTTCACCGGAACCCCGCACGTCCTCCTTTCACGTCACAGCGCACGTGGCTCGGAAGATGGTGAAGGAGTTGAGAGGTGCCCAAAAACCTCAATCTTTGTCATTAAAAAAAAAAGAAAAAAATAGGACATGCAGGCACAAGCGGTTTTTTGTTCTTTACTTCAGAAAGGTCGAAACACCAACTCCCAAATTAGTAAGCCAAACACTGAAATTGTTACACAGCTCCTTTAATTCATTAATCAGTCTCGTTCATTTCCATGCATAATATTTTGTATTCATTTTTTTTTGTTTGTTTGTTTTTTGCAGGGTAGCTGTTAAGGGCTTTTTTCCCCAGGATTGTGTCCCCCACAAAGAAATGAAGACACCGAACTCTGGACACCTACCGCCATCTATGAGCGACTACGGCAAGCCCCGTATCTGATTGCCGCCGTCGCTCATAGATGGCGGCAGCCTTTCCACTCTGGCAGGGGTGCCCGTTATCGCCTTTGCTGTTTATGTTGTATCTGAGAGGATTGGAGGATAGACTAGAGAAGAGTGGGCTTGGGTTCAACCTTTCTTACAGTAAGCTAGGCCAAAAAATTCAGCAATCCTTACCGGGATTGATGTATGCGGATGATATTGTACTAATGGCTAACAACAGGACAGAGTTGCAGGAATTAATGAGCATCTGTGGTAGGGAAGGAGAGGAATTAGGTTTAGAATTCAGTAGCGAAAAATCGGCAGTCATGATTTTTAACGAGGATGAAGTTGAGAGGCTGAAGATACAGAATATTACAGTTGAGAGAGCTAGTAAATACAAGTATCTAGGAGTATGGATATGTGATGGTGCAGAATATCTCAGAGACCATGAAAAGTATATAATAGGTAAGGGCAACAGAAATGCAGCTGTAATGAAAAATAGAGCACTTTGGAATTACAACAGGTATGAGGTGGTGAGAGAGATTTGGAAAGGGGCCATGGTGCCTGGCTTGACTTTTGGAAACGCAGTGCTATGCATGAAATCCGAAGTGCATGCGAGACTAGAAATAAAACAGCGCGGAGTAGGTAGACTGGCTTTGGGGGCACATTGCAAAACGCCAAACCAGGGAGTACAAGGAGACATGGGATGGGCATCATTTGAGAGTAGGGAAGCGGTGAGCAAGGTAGAATTTGAGGATAGGTTGAGGCAAATGGACGGGGAGCAATGGGCACGAAAGGTTTTCAGCTATTTATACATGAGGAGTGTAGACACAAAGTGGAGACAGCGCACTAGGAAATTAAGAGGAAAGTTTTTGGGCTATAGCGAAGATACGGAAGAGCAAGCCTCAGTTAAGAAGAAAGTTAAGGCCACAGAAAGAGATCGGTGGCTAGAGGCAATGCAGACAAAGACGGCTCTGGAAAGCTATAGATTAAACAAAAGAGTTATTGCCAAAGAAAGCATTTATGACAATTCTAGGGGAAGCTCATTGCTGTTTGAGGCAAGAACGGGTGTTCTGCGAACCAGAACATACAGAGTGAAGTACCAGGAAATTGATACAGTGTGCACTGCTTGTGGAGAGGAGGACGAGACGGCTGAGCACTTGATACTCTACTGTAAAGGGCTTCACCCTATGCCTACCGAAGACAACATAGATTTAATAAAGTCATTGGGTTTTAGAGACAGCGAAGGGGGAGTGGATTTCAAGACTGTAGAGATTACCAAGCAAAGATTAAGTGAATGGTGGCAGAAATCGAGAGAAAACTAGGTATGTTCTTATTCATTGATGGCAAGGGGGTTTCATAGCCTCACTTTCTTTGCACTGCGGAGTGAATATAGATTTCACATTTAAATATTCTAAGCTTAAATGGTAAAACAAAATGGCTAGGTGGCGTAAGCTACCGCCCGATCCAAAGGGCTCAGCCGTATTCATCCATCCATCCATCCATGGCTTGCCGACTTGTGTCCGGCCATTCCTTTCAATTGTACAGCTCCGCTGGTCTTCTTCACCAGAGTGGAAAGGCTGAAAGTTTTTTTTCTGCTTTTGTTGAATTTGTGAAAAACGGCGCAATATAGAATTTCGATTATGAATCAACCTCGACGTGTAGTTGATCATAGTTCCAAAGACACACACACTCGCATATTATTACTTATGCTGCATGAGGCAAAAAAATTAATTAATATTCTCCGGCAAAGCCGGCCTCAAAAGGACACTCCCGTGCGAGTGTCCGTTTAGTTCCGCTTAGACCAGGCAGATTTTTCCGGTCGCGCACCAGTCACCTAGCTGTGCTTGGAGATTTGTGTTTGTCCTTTGTCCCCCTTCTCCGGGGATTATTATTGTCAACTATCCTAGACCATTGATAAAATAGTACTTTAAGTACGATGTACTTAAAATACTTCCTTGCCAATACTTCCATTTGATAGTTGTCATTCGAAGCACATAAGAACAGGTTTAGTTCGAAATACGTTCAAAAGTCTTGCTGCCACTCGATTATGTCGTACATTCAGGTTATGTTTTCCCAGGTTTAATGCTGCAAGATACCCTCACGATTTCCTGTCCAAACAGCTTTCGTACATTATGTCATCAGGCAAGGAAGTTCAGAAAAATCCCAAACAGAAAAAAGTTCGCAGTCATGCCGTTTTTCCATAAGATATCCCACAACTTTAAATCAATCGGTGATAAGTTTGGCTGCATGGCGTTTCGGACAGCTATTAGGTTAAAACGTTTTTGACTCCTTTCGCTTCCGCTCAAAGAGGTTGCACGGAGAAACGCAGGGGTCTACAAGAACACTTTTGAAATGTGGGTTATGCCACATAAGTCAAACAAAATGTGTTAATGATAAGCTGGGCGAACATAAACGATGTGTCAAAAACGAAGACCAGTATTCGGAAGTTTATAAGCACATTCAGGAGTGCAATAACTGCGTGTCGTTATGGAACTCAACAATTACGATATTAACAGAAAGAAAATACAAGCGCCTGTTGAAGGAATCAAACGCGATTACCAACGTGGAAATTCTGTAAATAAGCCGACATTGTATTTGGAAGCAGTAGAATAGAAGCGTCTTCTGAATCTCTATTCTAAACGCCTCGTGTGTGAAGTTTTTTTTTTTTTTTTTTTTTTTTTTTTTTTTTACGTATTTATATTAGATGTTTGTGAGGTCACCGCATGATATCTTTTCATTCAAGGCCATAGGTCTGCCCCCGTTGGCCTAATTGTTCACCCAGTGTTATCTCTGTTACACGTGTGACGCCATTGTGGAGGGCCCGATGTTTCATTCCTTTGTGTCAGACGACAGTGGTGTGCGTGGGGAAGGATCTTTTCCCTCCTTTCAGGTTATTCAGCACTTATACATAATTTATATAAAGTCCGCAATAAAAGTTTAGCTGTCTTTGAGACGTTCTCTTTCTCGTTTATTGGTGTCAACTTCCGTATTCCTCAGTCTCGCCCTTACGTTCCAATTGAAATAATGTTATCTAAAAAAAAAAAAATTCTTTAGAAATATTTATATGTAGGCAAAATGCGCGGTCGACATTATATTCACGCTGGCTGATTGGTGATCAAATTCAGCCACATCGCGAAGGAGTTGGAGACCATTTAAATCTTGGAACACATATTAATTTTTACCGCGCCACAGACCCTTTGGAATATACCGCAATAAGCATCATCAACTCATTAAAAAATTGCAACCAAGTTCCGGCAAACCAACCACCTCGGGAAAAAATCCTTGAACCCTACGACGCAAAAGCCGCCAAGAATTCCCTGGCCTTCCCAAGTTTCCCCTGTTTTTTTCCCTATCTCGACGAGACAAAGGGCCTACCTACGATTTTCACAGCGAGCCCTAACCATTTTCGCCCGGTATATATATTTCGGCGTAAAAGCTGCTGCTCATGGCCTTACGTCAGGCGGGAAGACAAGGAAACATGTATCACCACATCTATTACCATTACAGTTGATAAATTCGTGTATTGCACCGCATGTGGTTGACCGTTCGGTGCGTGTTTCGTGTCATGCCCTTCTCTTTGGGCACCTGGGGGTCAATAAATTAATATTCGACTATATTCATTAGTCAATACACATAAACATAGCAGGAAGTCATTATTGCTTGGACTAGGCATCCTATCGGATGGCCGGTTAGTCCCACTTAAAATGGCGCTTTAAAACGGGATGTTGTTTTCGAGACTCGAGAAAAGAAAAAGAACGCAGATATTTGTTGAAGTTTTGAATAAGGCACTCAAGAATGAAGGACACCGCGCTACGAAGCCCATCCATTGCCATTCACATTTATTCACAGGCTACGATAGGACCAGCCGCTTTATCTGATGAAGGAATGCGGAAAAATTCGGATGTGCTAGCCGTGTGCACGCGCACTGGTGCCATAGATACGCTGAACTACGCATTACAACCTTCATTTAAACGCCGTAAGCTCTTTGCAACACAGCAACACAGTCACGGAGACGAATGAAGCAAAGAATGAAGCTCGGCGAGCGCCGATTGCAGACGGAAGGCAAGCTGACGCTGCAGCCCTCGGTAACCCTCGGTGGGCAGAAAATCACTCCCGCGTTATCACGTGGTCCCGATACTACGGGCCGCGAGTAGCCGTCCCAACAAACAACCGCGGTCTGCGTTTTCCGTACTTTGAAATGACAGTCCGCCCTCGGCGCACGTTCGTGGCCACTTTCGCCTCGCAATACCCGACCCGAATTAACATCTAAACTAACCAAACGAACCCAAAGCAGACAACGCGGGAGGCGACGTTTGCTTTTGAGCGACTTGTACTACACCCCGCCTCTTGGAAAGTGGCGCTTCCTGCATCGCCGCGCTTCAAACCCTGCAACTCTTTTGGTAATGAGGGAGAATGCCGACAGACCTGAGAGTTACTTGCAATAAAAATACACAGGCAGGTAGTGTGTCTCGCACAGCATTCAAAGAATCGTCGCGCGAGAAGAGAGCGCCAGCCGAGGAAGGACCCCCTGAATGAATGTCGATTCCTTACCGTATCTCGCTCTGCTCTCAGCTGTCGCATCTGACGGTCCTTCTTGAAGATCTGTTCCTGCTGGTGCTGTATAAGATCCGTGTGAAGGAGCACAATCGCTCGTAGCCTCTCCACATCCATGTCATCGGCACTCTTGGTCGACTCTCCGCAGTTGGCGTACAAGTGATCCGTCTCGCAGGGCAGCGTCATCTTCTCCTGCCCGGAGTCGCCGATGTAGTCGGCCGACTTGGTGCACGAGATGTGATCATGGAAGGCGGCCACCAGATTCACCTGCCGCACCATGCTATCACCGTCGACCACAGCATGATCCGCGACACCGTTCACCAGCGAGATGCCCTTTGACATATTTCGGCGCACCGGCAGCTTACGACTCTCAATCTTCAGGCGCTCGCTGCCAAGCAGTTCAGATTTCATGCTACCGCGAGTCACGGAGACATTGAGGATCATCGAAAACCGCACGACACAGCAATAGCCCCCCGAGCTGCAACGATGTCAATCCTCTCGGCCTCGGCGTCCCAGCGCCATGAATCTGACGTCACGGCCCCATGTCAGCTTGGCCCTTTTCGTAGCCAATCAGCGTCGATTTTACTAGACTGCTTTAATAATGCCCGAGGCTTAATATTACGTCAAACATTATTCTAAGTTCGTTTCCAGATAATAATATATACTATTTATTTATTTTTTTAATTGTAGAGGAGAGAAGGTAGATTTTTGGTCAGATATTTAACCAGCTGACTTCGTATCCAGTCCAGCGATCCAGTCGAATCCAGCCAGCGCAGTTAGGACAGGAAATATTCCAGTTTTGTGAAATAACCGAGAGTGGCGCTAGTAGCTATACATCAACAGCGCTACAGTGTCTTAACTTGAATAATTTAAAAAGTAATTATTATTATTGACATGTTAACCCAGTAGCGGGCCGGGGGGAGGGGGGGTGAACAGAACCCATCCTGCTTTTCCCCTGTTCCTGGGACTCCTGGGGAGCCGGCACACATGCTTTAGTTCTAATTATTATTCTTCACTACAATTAAAAAAAAATGTGCATTGTCAAAACATCAGTAGTTTTTATTTTTTAAAAACAATACATGTTTTTTTTGCTAATTTTTTTTTAAATTCTTAAACATTGTTTTAGTAATAGCGCTTCCGAACACATACCACTATTTGGCGCAGCAGGCGAAACCTTGTTTCAATTCCCTTGTACGAGAATTCCAGGGTCTGACATACGTTACGTCCCCGTCAGTCGTGTTTTTAGTCGTGCCTGGTCGTGCGCACGGCGTAGGATTGCAGCTAGAGAGCGAGGAATTTCCAGCTGTTGAGGTAAGCACTGTGCGTGTTTTACCGTTGATTTTTAGCGAGGCAATGATGATCGCTTTTCATAAAGCTTTTGTTGGTGCCTAGAATCAGTTGTCATGTCCTGGAACTGATTAAACCTCGAGATTGGGGAACAAACGAAGGCCAATACATCAACACAGTCTCATTTTTGACACTGTCTTATGTTGTCCTTCGTTTTTCCCCAGTTTTGGGGATTTGTCTTAAAAATATGTTCGACCATCACCAGCCAGTTTGCGCCCTAACTTTTTGTTGATTACAGTTGTTCCGCCCATTCCGCCGTTGACACACCGATCAAAGAGCACGCTCTCCAGCCATGAATTTAGGCGATGTCGAAATGTCTTCACCCTGTGTCTTGTGTGGTTGTGTGACATTGTCGGAAATAGTTTGCACCGGTGTTACGTAATCTGTGGCGTTCTTGATCTGCACCGTTGTTGTGTTCCTTGGTGTCACTGCAGCCCGATTGCGCAGCGCTGATCGCGTTCGTTTCTGGTACTCTACGAGCATGTTGATATTACTATTCGAAATACGATAACATGGCTGGCAGACAACGCAGACGAAACAATGAGTCGTCTTCTATGGGTTCGTCTTTTGAATTTTAACACATGCCTTTCGGTGACTCACGTTTTGCTTCCTCGCGTTTCACCTGCGAACGTTTAAAAGTCGTTTTGATTATTCGCCGATTGCGCCAATAAAACGCCTTGTTGCCTTGTCAAGCGTTGGAACGACTAAACAAGGGTACGTACTTAATTGCACCACTATTGCTCATGGAAGCATTGTTGCAAGCTTCAGTGGTCGAACTTTACGCAAGGTCGATTGTTCGCGCAGTCAGGGTCGGCTCTAGGGGTGGGCGATCGCCCAGGGCGCCATCAAAAGGGGCGCCGCGCGTAAAAAGGCAAAGGAGGGGGGAGGAAGGAGGCGAGGCGCCACGGCAAATGATGTAGGGCCGTTGCTACTCGAAGCTATCCAGAAGAATATTCTGCTCATGGGGTTGACTTATCAACTTGAAACCTTTGCTGAACTTTCTCTCTAATTGCCAGTGAAGTTTCAGCAAGAAGCAGTTCCCATCAGAAATTCCAAGGAATTTAGAAAATGTGTACTCCGTCCCTAAAAATGTCTTGCTTTTCCAAATGCTAGTAATTGCTGTTGAGAAGTAGGAGACTAAACCCCCCCCCCCCTTTCTCTCTCTCTCTCTATATATATATATATAAAATATTGTTTGACACTTTTGTTGTGCTGAGTGAACTTAACACTCGTAGCCAAGTTCTAGGCACCTTCAAGACAGTATAACCTCCCATAGAAATATGATGGACAATATTTTTTCCTCGACCCATTTTCACAAATCATTTCTCAGTGGCGCCAGTTTTGTGGGTCAAGTTCACATAAACTGCTGCTGCAGTCGAAGGTTTCAAAGTGTGAGCAGCGGGTCGATGTTGCATCCTATGCACTGGCCAGTTGGCCCCTGAAAATGTCGGACGAAGTTATGCCGATTTGCCTTTCGCTCTCGGACGCCGTGAGTGCAAATGGACTTTCTTCGCAGCACCATGTTTTCTGCCCTGGGCAGCATCTTCGGGAAGAGTAAGCCACAGGGGGACCAGGTGGCCGTGCGGGAGTCCCAAGTGGGCGACTTCGTGGTGTACGGCAACGTGGCCGAGGAAAGCAGGGCCCCGGACTACAGCCGCCTTCCTTACCCCGTGAGCTCCTCCAAGCCCCCACACCTCCTGCCTTGTCCGACACCTTCTGTAGACGTTGGCAAGCGGCCACGCTTGAATTGTTTTCCACTATGGGTCGAAATTGCTCCGTTAGAGTGCCAGTCTGGTAATGGTGGGCATGCTTTAGCAACACTCGCCTTGCCTTGTCTTAGCAAAGCAAGGGAGCGTAAATATTCCTAGGCCAGGTGGTGCAAGCTACCACCCGATACCATCCATCCAGTGATGTAGGAGTTAATTGGCTAGGTACCATCCATCCATTCCGACTTGACTATCGCAAGATGGTGGTACCCAGGGGCCATACTTGCAAATATGTATGGGGGCCATGTAGTGTTTTGTTGGACAGGTAGCGCGATCTAGTCATCATTTTCTGCGGGTCTGCAACATACGACAATCACATTTATTGCACCTGATCTCTAATTTGTGCATCTGAGTGCCCTGCTGTAGCGAGGATTCTGTTTCGGGGAGGGGGTGGGGTGGGGCACTCATCACAAAATGCTGTATGAGGGGGGGGAAGGGACGGGTGGGCCCCATGGGCCCCCCCGCCCCTGGCTACGTGCCCGACTGTGGCATCAGATAGTTTCATTTCATTTCATTTCATTTATTGTTCCCTCAAAGCGCCCGGAGGCATTACATGAGGGGGGGAGAGACAAAAGAAAAAGTTCGCTGCAAGAACAAGAAAACACTAACATTGAAAACAGCACGCGACAGATCGCGCACACATACACAGCATACTATATACACAACAGCTACACACCAGAGAGCGTATAAAATTAAACTGACTTAAATAATTCTTCACATACACTCCTAAACTGTGCACAGTCTGAGATATCAACCACACTTTCAGGGAGGTCATTCCATTCATGAATAGCCAAGATCAAGGGCGACTCTGAAAAATGCTTAGTGCGACATAAGGGTAGCCTAATTTTATGACGGTGATCATGCCGAGGAAAAATCCTATGGGGCGGAAGTAAAAGTTGACTTTTAAGGTCAGTGTTGTAATAATACACGCGATGAAGAAAAGCCAGTCGTGATACTTTCCGTCTATTACATAAAGGAACAAGGTCAGCTCTTGTTTTTAGTGCTGTCACACTCGACGTAAAGGAATAATCTCTAAGAATAAAACGTACGGCTCTGTTCTGAACAGACTCAATTTTTTTAATTAAATAATCTTGCCATGGGCTCCAAATAATGCTCGCATATTCTAGTTTTGAAAGAATAAAAGATTTGTACGGCATTGGCCCACTGGATTTGACCCACCGTCACTAGATCATAGCCAGTTGATAAGCTTCCTAGAATGCCTGGCACCTTATTTTGGCGCATGCGCTTGGGTGCGCTCGCTAGACTATCAGCCCGCCCTGTGGACAGAAGCGGTGGAACTCATGGAACGTTGGATGCCCAATACCTGCACTGGAAAGGGATTGTATCGTGGTTTTCATGGTAAACATAAAGTTTCCGCAAAAGTTGGCACAAAAAGTGCGTAGTTTGAAAACAATTCTTCGTTGCCTATGAAGGCGTTGACGCCGGTGGCACTAGGAACGCTATCTGCCTGCGCCTGCTCGCCTGCAAAAAAAAAAATTGAATGTTAATTTTTTTGTGGCGCTTGCCAACTGATAGATCAAAGAACGTTGGATTTAACCCACTTTAAATAAAGCACGAAAATCAGCTTTGGATTTGTTTTGTGAAAATATTAAAGGAAGCACCTGTTTCAACCAAAACTTACACAAAAAAAAAAATTATGGCTTAGTATTGAGTTAAAGGGACCATGAAATGATTTTAAAATCGAGTTTCATCCACCGCACGTCGTAAAAGGTGTGAAAAGAAACACAAAAACACAAAAATAGGGAGCCCAAAAAAATTATTTGCTATAGAACTTTTAAAAGAAAACTGGACTCTTTTGCGCCTTCCTTCCTTCGCCTGTTCACTACGATGCATACGCAGAATCGGTGCACGTCAGCCGAATCCACATCGCCTATTGGGTAAGAGCCTACCTCACCAGCACCGCGATCGTAAACAATAAATAGCCGGCGAATGTTTCCTAAAAGTTTTGTTAAATAATATTCAGATCCACATTTTGTAGCATAATTAGAGATGTGTGGCGAAAATTGCCAAATTTGATAATGCTGAGAGCCAAGCGCCATCTATCGTGTGGTAAACGAAGCAACTACTGCGCGTGCGCAGTAGGGCAGGGCCGCCAGTTACTTGGGTGACGGCGACCGACGAACATTTATTTTCTTTGTTTTCCTTCCTCTCAAAACTGTGACTGACTGAACGTTTATTTTTCTACGTGTTCTTCCCGCGCGTGCCGACTTCAAGCAGCAAGAAAACAGTACTTAAAACAGACCACGACGAACAAGAACGCTGGATTCACCGACTCCGACGAAGCGTATAGGCCTAGCAGGCATTCCGACTCGGCGCTGCGTTGCTTCGTCGCAAGACCGTCTGCCTACGACCGGCTGGCGTGCTAAATGGAATATGCCCGCGCGACCCTTGTGGACCCTTCCCGTATTATAGTTTGATCACTGACCTCAATTCTAGATTAAGAGGTGAGGAGGTCAATCTCTTCCCCTTGTTTTCCGAGGCAGTGTTGACGAACACTCGTCGAAAAGGGACTCTCGTCGATTCTATCTTCTTGTTTTGTGTGATATAGAGCTGAAATAAACGCCGTATGGATTGCCTTCGTAACACGGTATGTACACTTTGTTATTGGTATGCCATTTTTATTCTGACAGACTGCACGTGTCGACCCCGGTCCAACCTTTCTTTGCCGAGTGTCGCGTCAGTATCGAGTTGCAATCGTAAAAGAACGGTCCCGAAGCGCTTACCAACAGCGCGAATACAAGACTTCCATCAAGCGCGCGCGTCCGCTCCGAGTGTAAGCAGGTATTTACGTGGCTCTTGCTGACACTCGTAGTTCAAACGTATCTTTTTTAACGTCGGCTCGCTCCTGCTTCCCGAGGCCGCGAAAAACACCATCTACGTCGCTTTGCAAACGACTGACACGGGCCGGCCCTTCTGCCAACAATGACGGGGTGGTGACAAGACTCGCTGCACGTCCCAACAGGCATACCGGCGTATGGGACTAGTCCCATGCTGTCGCTGTAGCGCAACATATCTCATTGAATTTCGCTCAGCTGCGATGCCGCGATGAGAGGCGCCGATTCAGGAAATACGTCGGTGACATCAGCGCAGTAAAACCTACCGGCGCACCCCAACTCGTTGCCGCTAACACTCCCATTCTCCTACTGCCGAGAGAACTTCCGGTTCCGGAAACGGTCTACGTCACGGCTTCTTTTGCGGTCAGTTGGAGAGAATGAAAAAGTCGATATTTCAATAATTTTTTGTGTAAAAGTTAATAAACCGAGACGAAAACGGATGCCTGTTCGGCATTCAGTGAACATTGACGGTTTAATGTAAAAGTTATCTGGAAAAAGTAAAAAGGTCATTTCATGGTCCCTTTAAGCATTTTTAGGTTAAAAGGAGAAAAATCATTCTTGTGGGCTTTTGGGGCATTTTATTGCACAAAACAAAGAATTGGCACAAAGCAAGAATGATTTTCTTTGCTCCTTTCTGTTTTTGTTAAATCGAGCACCCCGCACCCACAGTTCTTTTACATTGGTACAAAAAAAGGAAGGTATAACTCCTTTAGGAAAATTAGCATTTTTAGTTGTAACTGTTCATTGAAGCAAAATTAGCCAACCAGCCGCCTTTGTGTGCTAAATTACAATGTCAGTGCATGCAAAACTGATTGAGATTTATTTAAATTGGGTTAGATCTATTCGGACCTCGCTTTAATGTCGTCACGGGTTTTTGCAGGGTGGCCCGCTGTACCCTCCGCTGGCACAACTGGAACACATGCAGGGCACAGCGGCAAGTTCGAGTGGTGATAAGGGCAGCACGGCAGCCCACGGCGGATGCCTGGATGGCGTGCCTTTCGTGCTAGGAGCCGCTGCTTCTGGCGCCTACCAGGGATCAAGGGACGTAGAAATGACACTGCGCCGTGTGCGCACTCTTGCAACATCCTTGCTTCAGTTGCAGTATGACTACAGCCTTGAGAGACGAGTCTTGCAAGAAGCCGGGGCATGCTGATGTTGCCATGAGCGGAAATGTCCCCAATTACACTTTGCCAAAGGATGCGAGCTGTTATGTTTTTGTTTATGTTTGCTGTTTTTTGGGGGCTGCCAGGGCTCTCGCTGCATGATTGAAGATTTACTGTGGAGAGGCTAGGACATCCCCTAGCTCGAATGCTGCATTGGAGTTGCGGGCACCGTCTTCTGGGGATTTAATAAAGACGCCTACACTAAATATTCCCAGCTATTCCATTTCTTCTTTGTCCTTGACATGATGTCGTTGACTGACATCGCTTTCCAGTCTTGACTTCATTTTCAGGATGGAGATGGCTATTTATCTCTAGCACCATTGTATAGTGTAATCTGACTTCTGGAATGTGCCTTTCGTCATTGTGCTGTGAACAGGCCACAAAGCTTTTCCTGCTTTGTGGCCTGTCGATCATCAGTGCTTCACCTGGACTATTATCAGCCTTCAACCTATAGTTTCTCGCAGACCTTTCATCAAAGACCTTTTCATCTCGGTAGTTACCCGACCGGTGGATAGAGGGCGCTGGCGCACCCGCCGCCATTCGGTAGCTTCAGTTTGGTTGGTTTTGGTTTCAGCGCGCTCGCGGTTGTCTTTATGTGAAGTGTGCCCGTTATAGCACACAACCAACGAGGTAGAGAGGCTTAGAGCGATAAACTGGTATCCCATTCACCAGGCAAAAGTGACCTCTACCCAGTCTTGTACACGTTACTAAAAAAAAGTAATCGATTACAATTACTATTACTTTTGGCTAAAAAGTATTCGATTAGATTACTTGATTACCCGACGGCAAAAGTAATTGGACATTACTTAAAGAAGTAATCGTTACTTTTCCGATTACTTTATTTTGTGAAGACACATCTTTAGCGCTCATAACAATGAACTACTTCCAACCTATATTTCACAATTGCACAAGTATTGAAGAAGAAAAACTGGCTCCCACTTCGTGGTAGTTGCACCTTCACAATGCGGACACAAGCATAGAATTCGTTTGTAGACGTTTAATGATTTGGGCGTTCGCCAGTGTGTGTGTGTGTGTGGGGGGGGGGGGGGGGGGGGGGGAGCGGAGGGGGTTCTAGATCTTGTTAAGCTTGAGCAAGGGTTGTCGCTCAAAGTTTGCGTCGCTCATTTTATTATTCACATGTGGATGAGCTCGCATGTTATACAAAAGAGTAGCAGCTCCAGGATTTGAAACTGATCATCTGTAGTATTCATTAGCGGAAGAGATCGCCCCGACCACTTCTTAACTCGAAACATTGCTCGTCACAAAGACCACGTAGGGGAAATGGGGAAATATTTCAACTGCCTTTGTTATATTTTGCATCCGCTTTAGGCATTCTTCGGTTCTGGTTCTCCTACGGGCTACGAGTAGGTACCCTAAGCAGGATTTTTTTTAATTTTTTGTTTTTATTTCTGTTTGTGTGTGCGTGAGGGGGCTAGTTTGAACGAAGGACTCACAAAGCTGCATTCTGCTTCCTCAAACTTCGAACTGAATGGCCTTTGTCACGCACTGTGGCTTCCCTGGGGCTTCCCACTCCCAGTCCCAGCTCGAAAAAAAAAAACACAAAAGAAACGGACATTCCACAGAAACTGTACATAGAAAGAGATTAGCCTCGCTTCCTACAGCTCCGCAAACATCTTTCTTTTTTCCGTTCGAAATAATAAAAGCAAATTTTATTTTTGTCATTTCATAAAAAAAAGGCGTGCGCCCGGGGGGGCGGGGGGGGGGGGGGGGGGGGGGGGTCGGGTCCCGTGGAAAATTGTAACGGTTACAAGTAATTTTATTACTTCAAAAAGTAATCAGATTACTCTTGTGATTACTGCCTAATAAAAGTAATCAACTGATTACAAAATTACTCCAAAAAGTGGTCGGGGCGATCTCTTCCGCTAATGGATACTACAGATGATCCGTTTCAAATCCTGGAGCTGCTACTCTTTTGTATAACATGCGAGCTCATTACAAGTAATTAGATTACTTGTAATGCGTACGGTACAAGTCTGCCTCCACCTGGCTGCCGCCATGTACAATCTTGACTACTATCGTTTCAGCTTCCGTCCGAGCGCAGCCAAAGCTACGTGTGGCCGGAGCCAATCACACGCCGGCAATAGGTCACGCGATCTCGCCTGCACTTCTGTATCACTCCGCTGCGCCGCCCGCCCTCGCCGAGTATTTCGTCTGCTACGGGTGTATCAACGATATCGTCTGCTACAGGTTTTAAAAGTGCCCTCTCGCGTTCTGAAACTTAGTCACAGGGGATGTCAGTACGTAGGCTGGCCGCTGGCATCTCTGTCCGAGCTTTCCACCTGTTCGGCATATAGTTTCGAGTTGTAAGTACACGTTGCAAGGTCCCCGATGACCCAGCCACCGATGTTTCCTTGTGTTGTTTGGATATACCAGGGCTCGAGGCGCAGTCCTTTCCACCCGCTTCTCGGCGTTCAATGTGATTGGCAGGTAAAGGGGTGCCCTGATTTCGCCGCGTATCTGAATTGTAGTGGCCCGTACGCTTTGCTTGTTTAAAACGCATTCGCGGTACGACGCGGCCGGAGTCTTCTGCCGAATTTGAAAGTAGACATTCATCACGACTTCTCGCGCCTGACGCCCAAACGTGCCTTTGTGAAAGGGCGCTTTAAAGCGACTCGGTGACGAAAGCAGCGAAGCACGTGATTCAGCTGATTCGGCGATTACGGGAACGATATCGCACAGAAAAACCAACGTTACTATAACACTCAGTTGGGAAACACCCATAGAGACAGCTTTGAAAAAGTGGCCCCAATCTGTCTCCGAGCACCGAGCTAATGACGAACACAACGCCACCATTTCTCCCGCAGCGGCCACTCGAGGAACTGCACGTGACTTCTATTTTAAGAGGTTACAGGGTGCCACCCCCGTCTACCTATCGAAGTTAAAATGCACCTAGGTCGGGACGCGCTACCTGAAAGGACCGCTGAGGCATGGTTGTATAAAAACAATATTAATTGTGCCGCAATACCCTGCAAACTAAAGATTTTAAAAACATAATGCGCCCCTCTTTTTGTACTAAACTCCAATAAATTTCATGCAAAAAGAGTCTTTTCCGTTTGTTTTTACGCAAAAACAGGCTTTCAGAAAGCTTAAGGTGACCACAGTACAGACAAGTGACAAAGAGTGGCGCTGTTGTCGCATTTAGCTCGGTCTCGGTGGACGCCAGCGGTTCAGGTTTCGACGGCGAGTTTCCCAACTGAGTGTTTTAGTAACGTTGAGAAAAACCGAGCGCTGCAGCTGTGTTGCCAGCGGATATACATGTTTTCACTAAACCACGTGCATTTACATATATTAATAGAAACTTAAACTTCAGATATCTGATTGCTTTAGTTGCAAATCATTCTCAGCAGTACACATCTGGAACATTGTGCAGTTTTTACGCACAAAACAGTTATTTTAAGAGAAATTACTTTTGTGAACTACTTTGTGGTGCGTAGGAATGCTCTTCTCGACGTTGTGAACCGTCCCTCAGCCTTTGGCTGCGCTCGGACGTAAGCTGAAACGAAGGACACGTGACCGTAACAAATCCTGAGGCTTATACGAAAAACTGAGCCGAGATTTGTATTGCGATCGCTGTAAGAAACATGATAAACTATCTTTTTTTCAATCGGTTAGCCCCAGAGGTCAGTGTCAAGCTGCGATAAAAACCCAAAATACAGCACCGTGGCTGACGGCATCTAGCGGAGGCATTGCGACGCTGACCAAGGAGGATAGAAGGGTAGGAGAGGGCATGGACGCCAGCCGCGTAGCCTCCACAAGCCATGCTCCCATGACGCCTCGCCTCTTTCTCATTTTCCTCCTCCTCACTTATCAGGCCAACGTGACTACATCACGTGACCGCAGCTAGCCTTCGTCCAGCCTTCGATCTGATCAAACCTACCGGACGGAACGCGCGCAAGCCTGCAAGGAATCCTTCTACAATCAACCATCCATCTCACACGTGACATGTCACGCGCACCAATTGCCAGAGAGATCTAGGTCACGTTGGCCACAACATCGTTTAAACTTTTTAGGGGCGAAGCTCCTTGGGGTCTAGCCTTGTCCGGCGTCCGTGCTCACATCGATTGCCATCCATCTGTCTTCTTAAAAAAATAAAAAAATGTTTGCGCAGTCGACAGGATTCGAACCCGTGCGGGGAGACCCCAACGGATTTCTAGTCCATAGCCTTAACAAGGTACTACAACGAAATTTCGGCGCTCATTTTTTGGTCTATACGTGTTCAAAGAAGCAGTATCACATCGAACATACCAATATCTTGTTAAAAAAAGTCTCGAAAAGGAATTTTAAAACGAATTAAACGATTAGCAAAGAGCACCTGGTGGATGTCGCTAACGCCTCGCTTGTAATGCCCGTCTAGGAACCTTGACAGCTAGTGACGGTTAAAGTTCATTGGGTTAATGTAACTTGAAGTAATCAAAAGAGTAATAATAATGTGATTTGAGCTCATATAATCAATTGGTGGTATAACAACTCAAAATAATCGAGAGAATCACCAAATTGACGATTATGCCAAATTAAAGTCTATCGGGTCAATAGTAACTATAAGGTAATGAAAAGATTATTCATAATGTCAACTGGCCTCATAATAAATCAGTTGGTTGAATATTAAAACAAAGTAATAAAAATAGTAATTATAATGTCAACTAGGCTTGTAACAAGTCATTTGGTTAGATATTAGCTGAAAGTAATCAAATAAGTCATCAAAATGTCTTGTAGGCAGAATTAAAGACCATAAGGTCAAAAGTAACTCGAAGTCATAAAAAAAAGTAATAATAGAGTGATTTGAGCTGACAATGGTGGCATAATAACTCAAAGTAATCAGGAGAGTCACAATAATGACAATTATGCCAAATTAAAGTCCATTGGGTCAATATGATAACTCAAAGTAATCAAAATAATAATAATAGGGCTGATAATAAATCATTTGGTTGAATATTAGCTGAAAGCAATCTAAACGGTCGTCACTCTGTCCATTAAACCGAATTAAAGTCAACTGGGTGTAAAGTAACTTGAAGTAATCAGTTGTGTTTGTGTGTCTGTTTATACAGCCTGAAGTTAGTTTGTATCTCAGTGCAACCGCTTGCTTCCCCTTTTTTTTTTTTTTTTTGTCTCAGCGTTTCGGGCGCGTGGAGAAAAGGTGAATCGGTTTCGCCTTCACGTTGAGGCGGAAAGAACGAATTACCACCTCGT